AGCAGCACGAAGGGCAGCTGCGCAGGCGCGCCCGGGGGCTCGGGGGCCGGCGGCGCGCAGCACTCGGGCGCCGCGCGGGCCAGCGCCAGCCGCGCCCCGTCCCGGGCGGCCTGGCGGGCGGCCTTGGCCGGGCCCAGCGCGGGCTCCTCGCGGTAATGGCCGCAGCTCGGGAAGCTCGGCGGCGGCGGCGGCGGCGGCGGCGGCGGCGCGGTGTCCTCGCCGAACCTGCGCGCGGCGGCGGGCGCTGCGGGGACAGGCGACACGTTAGACGTCCGCGCGGGGGAGGAAGGGGACCTGCCCAAAGCAGCACCAACCCGGTGGGTCCGGGCGCCGCCACCACCACCCCTCCGTCGGCCACCCGCGCGGCGCGCTCCGCCCACGCAGCCGCCTGGGCCCCTTGCCCACCGCGCCCAGGCCCGCGCGGTCCGGTGGCAAGCTGCAACCTGCAACCCGCGGCGCCCTGGTGGTCGCGTTAAAGAGCGGAGAGGAACAGGTGCAGTTCCCGGAAGCCGTTACTCAATGGAATGCCACATATCCAACAGGTCTTTCAGTGTGCAATCAGTACTTTTACATGATTGAGATGCCTGGTTCTTTGTTTCTGCCGTCCAGGTGCAGTGCACGGCCGGCAGCACCCCTCCCTGCCCTGGCCACATTCCAGTGCGCAAGAGCCGCACGTGCCTACTGGCTACCATAGCGGACAGCGCTGGTCTAGAGGCTTCCACTGCCTGACGGGTAAGGTGGCCCCAGTCAACCCTGTTTCCTTTCTTTTTTTTTTTTTTTTCTTTTGCTTAGTGGGGAGGGTGGGGTGGTAATCCCGCCTGCTCCTTTTAGTGCCGTCATAACTAAAGTTAATAACCACCCTCACCAATCAGGTGCCTACAATCAGCGCCCAATGTTTTTTTTGTTTTGTTTTGTTTTACCTTAAGACAACCTTTGTCTTCCTTTAATATCAAAAAAGACTAGGAAGTAGATCACAAATTGCCCCCAGATTAGCACCTTTGGTCCATTTTTACCAAGTGTATGACAAATGAACTCCTTATTACCCTCTTTCACTTTCAAAATAGCAATTTAAAAATATATATATAATACTGTGTGTTAGTTATATCACTGGCCAACATCCACACGCTAAGAAAAAGAATTCTTTCAGGTCAATCTCAAGTGAAGAATATTTTCAGCTGTTATCAGAATGCTTAGCTTTGTCTTTCTTATCGTCGGGGGAAATCCCTTCCTTGGTTATTTGCGTGATCCAGTAGCTGATGGTTCTCTCTCCAAATCCGAGAAACTGGTGGCATAAGGACTGGCCCAGGCCAGAAGGCAGGGCTGCACTGCCCTAGTCAGTGGCGTGTTCTTTTCTAAGCTGGCTACTTTTGAAAAACATGTCCCAGTAATCTCCAATACGGTTAGCTTTCTCCCACAGTCTATCCCTCTTCTCAGATTGAGAGACGAAATGGGTCTCAGCCTTGCAAAGACAGTCTGAGCAAGAGACTCCCCAAGCAGCCCGAGGAGGAACAGAGCCTTACCTGCCTCCAGAGAGAGAAAGTAGAGTGGGGAAGGAGGGGGCTCCGAGAGCTCTCCTCTTTAGGCAGATGTTTCTTTTCTGAGCATGTAACATTTACCCCGAATATAGTAGCCACTGCAGGAAATTTGCACCATCTTGGGCTACCCTCTGAGCAGTAGTTAGTTCTGCGCAAAACAGGAATATACCTCTTGCAGCTACCCCTCCACCCCCACCTACCCTCTACCTGGGGGTTGGTCCAGTGAGCAAACAGGAGTCTGTCTGGGCCTGGGGAAGCTGGTGGCACCTCCATGGAGGACATTTGCCTGTCTGCCACCAGGAAGAGCTGGGGGGAGGGGCCATTCCTGTCTCCCTCTCGTTGAACCAGCGGTGCTGGGCAGGCACCTACTGTGTGCCAAGCCCTGGGGTAGTAGGCATATCATATGGGTTATGATCCCATTTTACAGATGGAGAAACTGAGTCATGGAGTGTTTATGTTGTTTGCCCTGGGTTGGTGAGTGACATTTCTGTCTTTGAGCTCATGAATTTCCGCCACTGTTCTCCACACTTTGAAAACTGGCGTGTGAAGAAAACCAACAGCATCCCATACTCATTTCTGGGTAGGGTGGAAAAGTAATCTTGTAAAAGAAACGCGGCTGGAACATTCTCAGTACCCGGGAGCTGGGTTTGAAAATCACTTTGTCTGGCAAACGAGGCCAGGGTTTCTGTGGAGGGTGGCTGACCCCCCCCGCCCCGGGAGACATCCTCTGCCCTCTATCCTGTCACTGGCACCACGAGAGGCACACGGACTCAGTCACCCTGCTCGTCTCCCTCTTGCAAAGCCACTTCCCATCAAGAGCAGGAAAGCGCAGGAATTCCTACTTATAAGCAGGAAAATGAAAAGTTGGCCCAAAGTGTGAGGATCATTTTTCCATTTGCCACCCACCGCCACCACCGCCGCTGTTCACAGCCCTGCCCCCTCCCCTCGTGCAAACATGACCCACCTTCGTAGTTTGGCACGAGGCTCTGCCGAGCAGTGTTCACCGGCGGCTCGGAAAGGTTTTTAGCTGGAGACGGGCTGCTAGGCACTAGGGGGTTGGCGTAATGCCACTGGCATTCACCACTGGCTGGCAGGGTGCTCAGGAAAAAGCGTGCCACCTCACACGGGGATCCTTGGGGCTGCCCGAATTTGGCCGGCAACATTGGCTTTTTGCTGCTGAAGACGTGAGAGTCCAGAGGGAAGTGTCCATAATGGTAGGAGAAGGGCAGGCTGTAAGACGGGGCGTACAAAAGGTCACTGCTTTCTGAATGGAGCTGCTGTTCTGGGGGTGCCGGGGCGTTCGCCGGGGGGCTGGCTCTCCAGTTTCCCAGCTGGCTGCATTCCAGTTTGTCCATTTGGAACGAGCTGTATTGCTGTTTGGCAAAGAAGATGGATGAAGGGGCCAGTGAGAACCTGCCCTCCAGCCTCACCAGACCCCACCCTCTAGGCTTCAACCACATCCCTGAGCTGGGCCTATCATGGCCACCACCGTGAGGTCCCACTGGGGACAGGTGCACAGCAAACAGTACCAAGTGACCCTCCCCCTGCGTGGAACGAGCTCTCCCCAGCCCAAGCTGACCACATACCAGATACACATAGGCACTTTCTCTTTCTGAGATGTTACAAACTACTTTTTTTTTTAAAGGAAGGTTTTCATTAAAAAACAAATGCTATGGAAACACAATGCACTGTGCTCTAAGCCACATTAATGTGGATTCCAGCAAGCTGAGGTGCCTTCCTAATGTAGTCTTTTTTCCTAGACCCCACGAGTCCTCCCACACGTTAGCTTTGCGTGCCTCCAGGCTGTGTCTCGGCTGTGTGTGGGGGACATCCCCAGGGGACTCTGCCACACTGCACAGGGAAACTTCTGGGCCGGGAGACGCGCTCTGCAGTCAGAGGCTCGGCATTCCTGGACGGGCTGGGGGGTCCTGAGCAGCCCCCCGGGGCCAGGTGTCTGCTGCACCCTGCCCCAGCAGGTCCCGCGTGTTACCTGTAGGGGGTAAGGGTTTGTTCTCAGCTTTGTCTTCATCTTTGTATTTTTGGGTTTAGCTAATTTCCTAGTTTCTTGTGAGGTAGACAAGGTAGTCCTCCAGGAGTCCTGGCACTTGGACGTAGACACCTGGTCCAGGGATAACTGCAGTTCCTTGTATTCGACATCCCTGAGAAGCAAGAGCAGGACAAGGCATGTCCAGCAGGCTGCCCCAGAAGAGCGGCTTCCTTGGCCCGCACCCCCAAGCGAGCGCGTTCACAGAGCTCCAGCACAGCGGTTCACTGAGGTTGGATGGGACAGGACTTGAGCAGAGGGCAGGCCACCCTCATGATAAAAGCCCCCCCACCCCCACCCCCGAAGGCTTGGGCAATGCTGAGTGAGGTCCTGCTACATCCAGCAGGAATAGCCGGGGGTGGGGGGTGTCACCGTAGCTCTTTCCCATCCTGTAGCTCCCAAACACGTTTCCCTGGGACACCATGGGCCGTAAGGAAGTGTGTCAGGGCAAAAGGAAAGGGCAGAAGCATTACTTACCCGTTTGGGTATCTGAGACTCAGCTGCTTCTCTAGTTAGCACCCAGGGAGGCGTGAGTGGGGGACCATCAAGGGTCCGGGAGCCTGGCTGCCAGCCCACCCCTTTTCCACAACAGGCGCCGGTTTCTGCCCTAAAGAGCTAACTCGGCATGGTCGTGTTCATGGTTGCAGGGGGGTGAGGAAGCTGCCCAAAGTACCAGCCCACACCTGTCTGCTTAGGAAGAATCATTAAGGGGCTAAAATGCTTTCTTCCCTACAGTTTTGCTAAAATCACCCTCTAGTTCTAAAAAAAACAAAACCAAACCAAGAAACCAGGGACCTGGCAATCATTCTATGAAAGAACTGAGAGCCTAAATCCTTACTGCTTTAGAGCACACTTGAGGACCTTGTTCAGGGTAGGGCTGGGGGACTGCAAGGGTATCAAGTTCAGGGCCAGAGCTGGGTGCAGGTAATTTCACATACAGTAGCCATGGTGGGTCCACAGTAATATATGGTCCCAGGGAGACTCATGTCCTCTTGTGCCTAAAGGTCTTAAAAGTATGTGCAACTAAACTTGACCTTCTGGGATTCTAAAGGGGCCATTCATCATCATCTGCAATGGGCTATACAGAAAGACGGGGAAAATGCGAGATACCTCCTGTCCCACATGGCAGGAGCATGCAAGATGACCCTGATGTTTGTGGGCACAGAGAGCATAAATTTATATTCCTGATCCAGGATGTACATCGCCTGTGCAGCCTCTGCAAGGTGGAGGGAGAGGACATCTCCCACCTGCCCCCTGCCCAGCCCCCACGCCCCTCAGCTGGTCTCTGTGATCTGATCTTCAGCTGTACCTGGGGCAGGGCTCCCTTTCTGGTGTCCCCCCCACCCCCCCACTGCCTAGCACCTGGCTCTCTGCGCTGAGTCCCGAAATAGTTCGGACCTTCCCAAACGAACAGATTGTTCAAATAAAAACAAAACAGGAGACAAATGAACAGTTTCGGAAAGAGAGAGAGAGGGAGAGATGGTGCTTGTGGGAGTGGGCTGATGAGGGACAGGGGAGGAGGAGAGAGCAAGGAAACAAATACGTCTGACTTACGTGAGGACATAATTGACACTCACGATGCAGTGTGGCCGGGACGAGCGGCTGTTGTGCACGACGGTGGCGTAGCTCTGCACCCACACCCAGCCGCCCAGCTTGGACAGCAGCCGGTAGTACTTGGTGGTGACCTGGCCCTTCACCAGCACTGCAAGCACAAGGTGACATGAATCCCGAGGGACAATTAGCAGGCCCTGCTTTGGGGACACTGCCCCCATGGATAACCTACAGCCCTGGTTCTGGACCTTTTTGGGGTCAAGGACACCTCGGAGAACTTGACAAAGGAATGGGCTTTCTCCACGGGAAGGTGCCTGCTTGCACACACACACACGCACACGCAAGATTTTTGCCTACGATTTCAAGGGGTCCGAGGAGCAGTCTCTCCCCTCCCCTGTCAAATCTAACAGTCACTGATTTCATTGGGAAAAACAATTAGTCCCCGTACAACATTTGCACCTGGCAGAGTGATAAAATTCGTTCTGCTTTTCAGTTTCCCAAATGCCACGATTATGTTATAGTCCCCCAAACCCTTAATCTCCAAAACCCTTAATAGGCACCAGGGGGAGGGGGTGATGTAGTTATTTAAACAAAATAACAAGTACATTCAACCAAGTGTCAAATTGTTGATATTTGCTGCTCTCCAGAACATGTGTGTATTCACCGGGAGACTGCTATTCTGTTGCCTTTTATATTTTCTTCCCAGTAGCCCCACTTTTCCTCCGGCCTATTTCCTATGTTGCGTATGCAGGAAAGCACTCTCTTGGCTAGTTTCTGAACATGGGCCGATGGGGCCATCTTCCATGCATGGGTGCAAACTCCGGAGTGCTGAGCCACGCTCACTTCCAAAGCCTCTGTACTGATTTCCCTCAGGGCCTGGAGGGCACAGGCTGGAGGGGAAGGAAAGTGCCAGAAGCTTTGGGTGGGCAGTGGAGAGGAGAAAGTCCCAGTTAGTCTTCTCCACGGAGGGGGAGGCCAGCACAAATCTAAAAGGCATCCCTTGATGCCCAGGTCATGGCTATCGGGCATTCCTGCTTTTCAAAGCAGGGCTGGGCCCAGGGCTGTAACTAGCAGCCACCTGAGCAGGAATTTGGGGAGGTGGCCAAATTCTGTGCCTGCACGAATTGGCACTGAAGGAATCCCCTGGGGGCCCTCATCTTGTGCCACTAGGCAGAGCCCCCTCACCGTCTGCCCAAACCCTCCTGGGGCTCTCCACTGGCTTTTGTGGCTTCCTTTTGTATTAAGGGTGCTTCTTTATCATCCACTTTAACACCTGCAGTAAAATATTCTGGTGCAGAAGAAAAATTACTGTAAATATGATAGTCAAAGAGCTACTAGCCTTAATATAGAAAGTGTTCATACAGATCAATGAAAACAGTAAGACCCTAAAAGCTATATGAGAAAAGGACCTGAACAAACAGTTCAACAAAGAATATATATGATAAATGTTCAATGTATTTGCTCAACTCAAAGCTAGATACCATCGTTAAATCAGCAGACATTTAAAAAGAAAAAAAATATTGTATGGTTCCGTTTATGTGAACTGTCCAGAATAGGCACATCTATAGAGACCGAAAGCAGATTAGTGGTTGACAGAAGCTGGGGGATGAGGAGAACCAGGAGTGACTGCTGATGGGTACCAGGGTTGTTCTTGGGATGAAGAAAATGTTCTGGAATTCAGTAAAGGTGATAGTTACACGACATTGTAAATATACTGACCACCTCTGAAAATGGTTAAAATGGTGAGTCTTAGACTATGTGGATTGTATCTCAAAGAAAATAATGAAAAGACAACAGGTGATGTCAACTAATCTATTGTGGGAGGCACTGTCACATGTTGATAGAAGCATGGGTTGGTACGGTCCTTCTGGGAAGCAGTTTGACGGCTCATACCCATTGACACACTGACTTCACTTCCAATAACTGATCCTATTATAAGCAGTCCTGCTTATAATTCTGGAGAAAAAGGAGGGGGAGACCTGACTGCCCAAGAATTAGGGAAGATGGTAAATAACTTTTGGAGTACTAGGCAGCTATTGGAATAATGATTAATAAGAATTTGTAATATGGGGAATGTGTATGATATAATGATAAATGAAAAAAAGACACATTCAAGACCACAGAAATACAGGGGCACCTGGGTGGCTCAGTCGTTAAGCGTCTGCCTTCGGCTCAGGACATGATACCAGGGTCCTGGGATCGAGCCCCGCATTGGGCTCCCTGCTCAGTGGGGAGTCTGCTTCTCCCTCTCCCACTCCCCCTGCTTGTGTTCCCCTCTCTCACTGTCTCTCTGTCAAATAAATAAAATAATAATTTAAAAAAAAGACCACAGAAATACAAAGATCATATGAGACTGCTATGAACAATTACATGCCAAAAAATTGAACAACTTAGAAGAAACGCATAATTGGCTGGAAACATACAAGCTATGAAGACTGAATGGTGAAGAAACAGAAACTCTGAACAGGACTGAAGGGACTGTAAGGGGATTGAATCAGTGATCCAAACCTCCCAACAGAAGTCCAGGACCAGATGGTTTCACTGGTGAATTCACCAAATGCTTAAAGAAGAATTAATACCAATCCTTTTCAAACTCTTCAGAAAATCAGAGGAGGAGGGAACACTTCCAAACACATTTATGAGGCCAGCATATCCCTGATACCAAAACCAGACAAGGACACCACAAAAAAAGGGGAAATTACAGGCCAATATCTCTGATGAACATAGATGCAAAAATCTTCAACAAAATATTAACAAACTGAATTCAACAATACATTAAAATGATCACACACCAAGATCAAATGGGATTTACTTCCAGGATGCAAGAGGGTTCAATATCTGCAATCAATCGAAAGGATACACCACATTAACAAGGTGAAGGATAAAAATAGATGCAGAAAAAGCATTTGACAAAATTCAACACCCATTTATGATTAAAAAAAAAAAACCTCTCAACAAAGTGGGGATATAAATGTCCACTGTACATAATAAAGGCCATCTATGACAAGTTCACAGCTAACACCACACCTAACCAGGGAAAGCTGAAAGCTTTTCCTCTCAGATCAGGAACAAGTCAAGGATGCCCACTCTCATCACTTTTATTCAACAGAGAATCAGAAGTGCTAGCCAGAGCACTTAGGCAAGAAAAAAAAAAAAAGGATAAAAGGCAACCCAAAAGGAAAGAAAGAAGTAAAACTGTCACTATTTGCAGATGACACATTATATACAGAAAACACTAAAGACTCCATCAAAAAACTCTTAGAACTCATAAATGAATTGAGTAAAGTTGTAGGATATAAAATCAACATACAAAACTCTGTTGAGTTTCTACACATTAATAACGAGCTATCAGAAAGAGAAATTAAGAAAACAACCCCATTTACAAATTACATAAAATAGAATAAAATACCTAGGAATAAATTTAACTGAGAAGGTGAAAGACCTATACCCTAAAAACTACAAGACACTAATGAAAAAACTGAAGGAGACACAGATTAATGCAAAGATATCCCATGTTCATGGAGTGGAAGAATTCATATAAAATATCCATTCCACCCAGAGCAATCTACAGATTTAATGCAATCCCTATCAAAATTCCAGTGTCATCCTTCAAAAAAAACCAGAACAATCCTAAAATTTGTGTGGAACCCCCAAAATTCCTTAAAAGATGAAAAGCAAAAATAACAAGTGGTATTACATCTCAATAAAAAGTTTCTGCACAGCAAAGGAAAACCATCAACAACATGAAAAGACAACCTACCGAATGGGAGAAAATATTTGCAAATCATATATCTGATAAGGGGTCAATATCCAAAATATGCAAAGAACTCCTACAACTCAGTAGTAAAAATAGATAAATAAATAAAACAGTCCAACTAAAAAAGGGGCAGAGGGTCTGAATTGACATTTTCCTAAAGAAGACATACAGATGGCCAACAGGTGCATGAGAAAGTTCACATCACTAATCATCGGGGAAATGCAGATCAGAATCACATGAGATATCACCTCACACCTGTTAGAATGACTACTATCAAAAAGACAAGATATGACAAGTGTTGGCAAGGATATAGGGAAAAGGGAACCCCTGTGCCCTATCCGTAGGAATGTAGATTGGTGCAGCCTCTATGGAAAGCAGTAAGGCGGTTCCTCAAAAAATTTAAGACAGAACTACCATATGATCCAGAAATTCCACTTCTGGGTAATTTCTCTGAAGGAAATGAAAACACTAACTCAAAAGGATATCTGCTCTGCCATGTTCATTATAACATTATTTACAAAAGCCAAAAAATGAAGGCACACTGAGTGGTGCCCATCCATGGATGAACGGATAAAGAAATTGTGGTACACACACACACACACACACACACACAGGAATACTGTTCAGCCATAAAAAAGGAAGGAAATCCTGCCACTGGGACAACATGGATGGACCTTGAGGGCATTACGCTCAGTGAGGTAAGTCAAAGACAAATACCATGTCACCTCACTTACATGTGCAATCTAAAAATAAAAGTTGATAGATACAGAGAACAGATTTGTGGTTGCCAAAGGTGAGGGGTGACAGGTGGGTGAAATGGGTAAAAGGGGTCAAGAGGTACAAACTTCCAGTTATGAAATTAATAAGTCTTGGATGGGCGCCTGGGTGGCTCAGTCAGTTAAGCATCTGACTTCAGCTCAGGTCCTAATCTCAGGGTCCTGGGATGGAGCCCCGAGTGTCGAGTGTCAGGCTCTGTGCTCAGCAGAGAGTCTGCTTCTCCCTCTGCCCCTCCCCCAACTTGTGCTCTTGCGCTCTCTCAAATAAATAAAATCTTTTGAAAAAATAAAGTAAATAAGTCCTGGACTTGTAATGTCCAGCATGGGGACTTTAGTTAATACAATGAAAATACACTGAAAGTTGCTATGGGAGTAGATCTTAAAAGCTCTCAAGACAAGAAAAAAAAATTTATTAACTCTGTATGGTAATGGATGTTAACTAGACTCATTGTGGTCATGTAGCAATACATTCAAATGTCAAATCATTATATTGTACACCTGAAACTAATATAATGTTACATGTCAATTATGTCTCATTAAAAAAAGAGACACGATTCAGAAGTGCATAGAGTACAGGTAGGAAAAAGTGAATGCACATGCGCGCGCACACATATACAC